AGTAAACAGCGTCTGTGCGGCTTGCGTCTGTGGACTGCGTGACAGGCGTACGTAAACCACGTACCGGCGGCGCGCAGGCAAGTCAGTTACGCTAGAAACGTAGGGAGATTGATTGACAGCCTGTCAGCTAACAGATAACGAGGCAGTGTCGTTATCTATTGGCAAATGTTTAGCCCCACCACGTCCAGAGTTGATGAATTTTTATTCTCTTTTTTTTGGTCATCATAATTACAAGGCTACTGCACCTCTATAATGCTATCATTGACAATTTGAAACAAAAAAAAATCCTCCATACAACCTTTAAGTTGTTGATATGAGGTGTGTGATGTGGTTCAAGTCAACAGCTACTTTTATCTTTTGTTCAGTGGAAATCGACAATTCCAGGGCTGAAATGATCCAAATGATTCTCATGAAGGTGTGTGGAGTTAACAATTTGGGGGCCCTATGTGAACTTGACTTTGGGGCCCTCACTATAATGTTTTTTTGGGGTTTTTTTTTGTATTTTTTAAGTACTTATTGTCTGTTTTTCCCCATTGTTCTTGAGACCTTGAGACATGCACATCTTTATTTGATTTAGGTTAGGATTGGAAACTTGTCTTATTAGTTCGGTTGCCTACTAGAAAACCAGAGCTGAAAGTAATTTTGCTTTTTAGCTAGGACAATTACATTTTTGATTACATCTATTATATATAATTATGCTATGATTATGTTCAAATCAGAGTCAAGCTGACTAGTCCGTTCTAAAGTGAAAGGGGGGGGGGATGCTGTGACAATAAAAATAGATTTGACAGTCAGATACTATTTTGTTGGAGTTTTTTTGTTGAAAAGTAAACTACTCTCATTTAATGTCATATTGAAATCAATTGGCTTTGAAATCAATTGGATTTGAGGCCTTGGCATTGAGGACAATTGTTTGGGGGCCCCTCCAGGTTCGGGGACCCTAAGCGGCCTAATGGTAGCACCGCCTCTGCACATGACATCACAAGGTGGAACAGAGTGTTTTCTGTTTGAGAGAGGAACTAAAAAGGCCTAAATATGCAGGGTTTGTGTGTTAAACATGTGTGAGAATGAAATAAAACACAACTCTAGGTTTGTTTGTGAGGAGGAAACAACATTAAAACTTAGGTCAAAAAATGGCGTAATATGGGCCCTTTAAGAAAAAAAAAAGTATGTGTATGATAAGTTTATATAAGCATCCAATGGCAAGTATAAATATGTCAGCAGGGGGCGCACTATAAATGAGGTTATAAACTAGAGCTGCTAGAATGCTTGGGGCAAAGTGAGCATTGAAATGAGCAGAATGAGTCAAGTTAGGTGGATAGTAGGGCTGGACAATTTTGGAAAAATTCGTAAATGCGATTTTTCTGACTCGATTTTTCTGACTTTTCTATGTTTAGATAGAAAGATTCTGTTCAAAAGATCCACGGCAAAATAGAAAAGAAAAAAAAACAACAATTCTGTCAACTGGACTGGACTGGAGAGAAAACATTTTGCTGCTCAACCACACAGCTTCTTCAGTTCTTCAATTTCAGAATTTTGATTTAGAAGAATAGGCTCTATTCACGCTTGCATTACAAACCAGAAAGACGTTTGGAAAGATGTGATTACAACTTCTGGCGGGCTCTAAGCTTCTAAGAAAAGAGAAAATGGCCCAGTTTTCTTCATCTCCGTGTCATTGTAGCGTTCTGTTATGTTCGACTAATCAACAATTACAACCATACCTCAGTTTTCATCATTTTCCCACTGACACAAAACTCTGAGCGCACTGGGTAAATGTGATTAGAAGAGATGAGGCGCCAAATTGAAGATGATTCCAAACAGCACATAAGTATGCAGTCTTCATTTTACCGCTGATCACATTTACTTCAGTGGGTTTGATCACTGTCGGTCGGCGAGTCCAGTGTCGGGAACTACACCGGAAATTGTCATCGCATCTTTCCAAACGTCTTCCTGGTTTGTGACGTAAGCGTGAATAAAGCCTTTTTTACTCTCACACACCTGGGATACTGTCCTGAGGAAGTCGGACTGCAGGTGGCGCTGTCGTCCTGCCTCCACCGGTAGGAAGACAGCGCCAAAACCTGTTTAAATCAGCTGATCGGACACGCCACAGCAACATCACGTGACCACTCTGAGGAAGAGCGCTAGTGAGCAGTCGAAACTGTCAGGTATGAAAACAAACTCTTGGTCTGAAAAAAGAACCTAATAGTATAAATTACTGGAAGATCAAAAGAACCTCATTGAACTGTGAATAGAGCCTAATGATTTTTTTTCCTTTTAGAAGAAGAAAAGTTCTTCCAATTTGAGAGAAGATTATTTCTGAACTGGACTGAACTGGTAAAGTAATACAAAAATAATAACACGCATTTCAGAATTTCATGTTTGCAGAGGTTTGAACTACAGGCTTATTTTTTTGTACAAAATTAATAACATTTTTCATTTGTAACAAAAATAATCGCAGACTTTGTGATTTACTAATTACAACCATTCAAATTGTGATTGCGATTTGAGTGCGATTAACTTTGCAGCCTTATTTAAAAACACAGAGGAGCACCCAAGATTTCCACCAGATGACATCACAAGTTGGGGTTGAGGTGTTTTGAGTAAATAATCTTGACTGAAATAAAATAAAACTCAGGTACATTCTATGATATGAAGTTATGATGAAAAAGTCATCTTAGAATTACATAGGACATTGAAAATCTTCATGTTATGGCTTTGGGTGAAATGTTCCACAGTACGGCATTTAACCTATCTATCTCCATGAATTCAAGCGCGATCAAATTATAGGTCAACTCTGCGGAAAGGCAAGCTTGCTCACAGTAATCTATCTTGCATTTAGTTAACTACGGTGTTTTTTTTATTGCCAAATCAATACTTAACCCTGCGCCGTCACCTGCTGGTCTCCATGGAGATAGATCGCTTTAACGTGATAATGTAAAATACTCCAGGAACGCCAATGCATCACCATGGAGACAAGCAGGTGGCAAACCCTTCACTAGAAATGTTACATAGTGCATCTTAAATCATAAGCAATACCGTATTTTGTCACTAAATCAGTATAATTCCTCAAATTTTCTTTCTTTAAAAAAAAATCAAGTTACAATTAATCTTTTTTAAACCTGCACAAAGGCGTATTAAACTACATTGTAATTGCGTGTGGCATATTGCGTGTTTATTGATTAAAAAGCTGGTGTCTGTATGAATGACACCTTGTATGCCGGCGGGTAAATCATGTAAATAATATATACCGGAGTCTAATTTGAAATGCAAATGTATGCGTGCAATCAATCAATCATTAAACATCCATACGACAGGCTGCAGGTCTTGCAAACTAATATTGAATTACATGTATTATCACATCTCCCCTGTTGTTGCATGTGCTTACTAACTATTTATTCTGAGGCTGTGGGACAATCTATAACTCCTGCCAATAGGGGGCAGTAAAGATTTGTGATTTCTGAACCTAAACTAGAAACTTCTATGTCCAATGTCCTGCAGTGGTTGATTTTGCACAGGTACGAGCCAGTTTTCTAAGTAATTACATTGTATTTTTTATAGGAAATGTCGAGTGAATCAACTATGATGTATCTTGAGTATCTCTGCTTTGGCGTTTCATTATTTTTTTTACTTAAAATAACTCTAAAATGATAATGAAACAATTGTGAATGAAGCTAAAACAGCCCAGTGTACGTTTTTGATGAGGAAACAATGATGGTTCAAAGCTGAAAGAAGTCCAGAAGAAGTTTAGTCCTTTAAAGTTCCACTATTCCAATTTCTTTCCCCCCTTTACCATCACGCACACCTCAAAATGAATAAGTATAAGATTGTGGAGTTTAATGCCATACTGTGGAACATTCCTGACGAAGCAGTTATCAAATCTCCAGGGAGAAAAGAAAGAGATGAAAAGAGAAAGAAAGAAACATCTGGATACTAAATATTACAGGTTTATAGAATGTTTTGATGTCATTCGAAACCCGGAAATATGATAAAAAAAAAAAAAAAAAAAATACTAAATTAATTTAATGAACTTATTTTCAAGAATCTATGTTCCGTTCTGGTGTCTGATTTTCAACAACAAAAAAATGAATGGAATTTGTTTTGGCGTTTCATGTTTTTGAACTAAAAATAACTCTAAACCTGAAATGGAGGATTAATGAAACAATTGCGAATTAAGCTAAAAAAAAAAAAAAAAAAAAACTAAACTAAACTTAAAAAAAAAAAAAAAAAAAAAAAAAAAATTGAAACATTTGAAACCACGAAATAGGATAAAAAATAAAAAACAAAATACAAAATTAATTTAATGAACTTATTTTCAAGAGCCTGTGTTTTGTTTTGGTGTCAAAAAAAAAAAAAAAAAAAAAAAAAGTACAGAAAAATTTTAATTAAAAATTGTAATTAAAACATTGTAATTAAGTAAAAGTATAATTACTTTGCTTAATTCCTACTCAAGTAAAAGTTACCATCATTAACCATCTAAAAATCTAGTAAAAGTAAAATCGAGTAAAAGTAACAGTAAGTATTTCATGTAATTTGAGTAAAATTTACTAAGTTACTTTCAAATATTTGATGTAAAAAAGGATGAGTCATAAATCTAATCCAGCACAAGTTGTTTTAATCAACTTTTAGGTGATATAGTACAAACTTTGTTCACAGCAAACTTTGTACATTTTAAAGACAACTGAGCTTAACACTTAATATTTTAACACTTGTAAATAATAATAAGTTATTATTTTACTTTCATTTCATTTTTCTCGCATTTCTTTTTTTTTTTTCCTCTATCAGTCTGATTTTACTCAGTAACGAGGGTAGGTTCCAATGTAATGGTGTAAAATATTCGGGTCAAAATATACTCAAGTAAAAGTAAAATTACCTATTTCAAAAACTACTTCAAAAATTACAAATTACTCATAAAAACGACTCAACTACAGTAACGTGAGTAAATGTAATTTGTTACTTTCCACCCTTGAGTATCAGTAACAAAAAAAACAAACATTACTGACCGTTGAGTCTGGCGAGAGTCCAGTTTCGGCGCACATCGATGGGGCGGTTGGCGAGCTCGAAGGCGAAGGGCCCGGCGTTGGGGTTGAGGTCGGGGTCTATGGCCGTGATGTTGATGCCGCTGGGGTCCGGGCGCTCACACATCTCCACTTCAGGAGGAAACACGTGAGGAGCGTTATCGTTTATGTCCACGAGGTAAATCTGCAGTGTCCCGGTGCCGCTGGCCGGAGGGCTGCCTGGAAAACATACGAGAGACGAGGGAGGTCACTGGATGTATGGAGGATGTTTGTTTAAAGCTGCATTGTGTAACTTTTCTGGTGAAAGGTCCATCAGATGCTTTTGTTCATGGATATGTTATTGCTGTAAAATGTTTCACAGTATGGTGTTAAAGCAGGGGTGGGCAAACTTTTTGACTCGTGGGTCACAAAGGTTTCTAAAATTTGACAGAAGGGCCGAACCAGGAGCAGACGGATGGACTTTTCTGATAATCTACCTCATACGAGAAAAAAATAACATGGGATTTGTAGAAAACACATCCCATGTTAGTGAAATATCCCATAATTTAAAAGCATCACAACAAAATATCTGTATTTCAAGGCCCATGGTATTTACTATTTATTGAAATGACTTTTAAAACACTGAAAGTTGTAGTTGTTGTAGTTGTTGTTTGCGCTGGATTAAGTAGACTAAAGGCCATAGTTTGCCAACCCCTGTGTTAAACCTTTTTATCGTCATGGAGACCAAACCAGACCAAGTTACAGGTCAGATCTGTTGAGAGGCGACCCCACTCACAGCCTGTTTATATAGGTATTTTTGAGCTATAAAACCACCTTTAATTTAATAAATGTAAGTTAGAGCTGTTTAAAGCCATACTGTGAAACATTCCAGGCATAGTGTATCTATACAAAAAGTTACACAATGCACCTTTAAAGGATTCATATTATGCTATTTTCCGATCTACGTTATAATGTTGTTTCCTCATCACAAACAGACCTGGAGTTTTGTTTTGTTTCATTCACACATGTTGAACACACAAATCCTGCATTTTTAGGCTGAGTTCTTCTCTTTTCTCACACTGAAAACACTCTGTTCCACCTTGTGATGTCATGCGGTAATACTGACAGTGCTCCACGGTGTTTTTAAACCCCGTACACCTTCGCTTGAATCATTTGGATGATTTCAGCCCTGGAATTGCCAATCTCTACTGGGCAAAAGGTAAGAGGTATGTGTTAACTTGGAAACTACCACTACATGACATCACAAGGTGGAAGGGCGCATTTTGAGGTTTGTAGATGTAGATAAAATAATAATAATAAAGTATTACATGTGTTTTCAAGTATAAAGTAAGCATGGTCACCCTAAGTATTGATGTTACTGTTGACAATTGTAATAATGTATTCACAATTATGCACAAACACATGACAGAAACATAATTTAAAGCAATAATATGTAACTTTCTGGAGGTCGAAAGTCCGATGCGTGATTCCATAGAGACAGAAAGTTAAATTCATACTTTTGGAACAGTCTGAACGGAGATAGATTTTTTGTTTTTGTTTGTTTTATGCCATACTGTGGGTTACTGTGGAATATTATAGCCCAAGGAACAACATTTCCATGGAAACAAGTGGGAGGCCTTGTTTGGTGGAGATTGCAGCCCGCTCGCAGCAAGTACGCCTGTTTTTATTTGTTTTTCAGTGCAATAAAAACATGAATAATCAAAAAACACACTTTATTTTGGGGAAAAAGTTCAATACTGTGGCTTTAAGTTTTGCAGATCAGAAGCAGAATGAGCCTGTTCACTTTGGGTTGTAACACTGAAACCAATTTGCGATTACACAGAACTTCCTTTCTGAGAGAAAAATGCGCCAACCTTTATCTATTAAGAAATGTGTTTAGGGTATTGCTGGCTTAAACCTGTCCAAGTAATTTCCTTTGTGGATCAATAAAGTTTGTCTAAGTTCAAGTCGTGAGCCCTGAAAGCATTTTTGCCATACAGCACAATGTAAAAAAAAAACCAAAAAAACATGCTTGTATTGGGCTGAGTCACTTACAGCTTTAAAAAGACCGGATTTTGTGACAATTTTTGCTTATTTTCAGATCGTCATCTTTTTCTCAATTGAAAATCTGTCAGTTGTCTTAAAAAATGCTTTTGAATTTTTGGATTAAGCTTCCTCTGCTCCACTTTAGTCCGCGCTCACACTGACTGGGCATTGATCCGTTCTACATGAGCGTTCTACGTGTCTCTATTGGCAGAATCATCAGCGGTTACCATGGTGACACAGTGCACACCTTAGCCATCACTGTCAAAAAGTGTTAAGACGGTCTGAAAACTCAAACGGACTTAAGCAATATTTTTCCAGGAACATTTGATCAATATGAGTGTCCATGGTCCTGTTTAGGTGTTAGTAACTAATTGAAAAAAACTGCTTGCTTGTGACTGTAATTTTATGTGATTTTTGTGTTTCTGAGAGACTTTTTAACAGCATTTAGCTCACCTGTTTTAGTTCTAACTAAGTCTAACTTAAACTCTAACTCTTCCTGGTCAAATTGTGTTAAAACAAAGCTCAGATTAAAGCCGATCTTGAGCAATTGACAGGGTTCCCACTCTTTTTCACTGACAAAATTTAAAAACTTTTCCATGACTTTTTCATGACCTAAAGTGAATTTTACATGACTTTACAGCACCTACATGTGTAGAATTGATCAGACTTTTAGAGCTAAATATGAAATGTGAACCTTTTCCGCTCACCTTATGGTTTGGAATTATAGTTTTTTTAACATTCAAAATCCTGTCAGTGCATTTATTGTCGTCTCTTTTAAACAAAAGGCACAAACATTTGGAAATAATCATAATAGTCTAATGATAACTTAACAGAACACTGTAATTGGATGAAAGAGATACTGGCATAACTTTTCCAAAACTTTCATTGAATTTACAAAATTCCATGACTTTTCCAGGCCTGGAAAAGAACATTTTCAATTTCCATGACTTTTCCAGGATTTCCATGACCGTGGAAACCCTGAATTGAGCTTCGGACAGAGCAGTGTTTACTAGGGGGTGTAACAATATCCAAGTCTCATGATAAGATATCATCACGGTATGAACCTCACGGTACAATATTTATTGCAATATTTTGTGGAGGCTAAAAAAACTGTGAATATGCTACTTTTTCCTCTTAAAATGTCTTGACAAGATTTAATCCAAAGAACTAAGATGTTTTAGAACAGTTATTTCTTCTTGCAGTCTGCACTGAAATGAAGCAAAGGATCATGGTCTATGTAGTCCCCTCTGTCTTTTATTAATTACTGCTACACCATAACTCTTAATTTAAGTAAATAAACTTATAATTTGATATATTGTGATGGTCCACAATATTGTGAGAACAATATCACGATATTTCAGTTATTGTTACATCTCTAGTGTTTACAGTTAGCGTCACACCCCCTGGTCATGTTGATGACGTCAGCTGCAAAGTACCAACCCTGTGCATCACTGTGCACAGAACATACACTGCAATTTAATTTCTCTGATCTGGCCAAGATTTTAAAACTTATATCAGGTTATTCATCTTGTTTTTAGATTTATTATCTACTTTCTAGTTCAGAGACTGCTTAATTCTAGTCTAGAGGTTGTTTAATTTAAGATGACTTAAGATAACATCTCTTGAACTCGGGCTTGTTTGGTCTTGAAGGCACTTGGACTCAGTCTTGTCTCAGTCTCAAAGGCACTTGGACTCAGCCTTGTCTCAGTCTCAAAGGCACTTGGACTCAGTCTTGTCTCAGTCTTGAAGGCACTTGGACTCAGCCTTGTCTCAGTCTTGAAGGCACTTGGACTCAGACTTGTCTCAGTCTCAAAGGCACTTGGACTCGGTCTTGTCTCAGTCTCAAAGGCACTTGGACTCAGACTTGTCTCAGTCTTGAAGGCGCTTGGACTCGGTCTTGTCTCAGTCTTGAAGGCACTTGGACTCAGTCTTGTCTCAGTCTCAAAGGCACTTGGACTCAGTCTTGTCTCAGTCTTGAAGGTGCTTGGACTCGGTCTTGTCTCAGTCTCGAAGGCGCTTGGACTCGGTCTTGTCTCAGTCTTGAAGGCGCTTGGACTCGGTCTTGTCTCAGTCTTGAAGGCGCTTGGACTCGGTCTTGTCTCGGTCTTGAAGGCACTTGGACTCTGTCTTGTCTCAGAGGTGGTTTAATTTAAGATAACTTGTCCACGCAAGATAATTTCACTACTTTTATGTCATTTTCTGACAGATTTAAATGTTTGTATCTTAAATTTGGGACAAGCAGTGTACCTCGCTGCTAAAAGCTTGAAGACTTGAATCTGTGAGTCCATGTCACATACACAGGATAACACAGAAATAAATACATCATACAGTTAAGATACTGACTACAGCTGCTCGAGGTCACGATCAAAACATTACATAAGCAAATTTATAAATACAAGGTTGGTGAAGTGTTAACAGGCCATCTTCTTATTTGTGCATGAGTGCTTAAATTGTACTGCAAAGAGCACGTTCAATAGTTAATTAAAACCCTATCTCGTACATGCACAGAACCATCGATGCTCTTATTTACAGTCCAGTTTCCTTGATTACTGGTTGCACATGGCCTGGTATATCACTCTCCACTCGCTCCACTCGCTCATGTGGAGTGAATGACTGCCTCGGTACAATCACACACACACACAGATAAATCAGGGACAGTACAGTGGGCACGGTGCAGTGAGAGGGGGGGATCCGTGTCAGCGCCGGACATATGGTGACCCGTGAAGAACTGACCCCTCCTCATCCAGCCCGGACCACCCATCCCCCCTCCGCTAATGTGTGTGTGAGAGAGAGGGAGAGGGAAGGACAGTGATTGTGCTAAGATAGTCATTTCTGAGGCAAGCCAAGCAGAAGGTAAAGAGGGCAAATTCTGTCTCTCATCAATATTGCAAAAAAGAATTTAAAGGTAGTATATGTATAACTGGATGTAGGATCTTTTTCTTATTTTTTTCGTATGTTTTAAGGTTAAAGTAAGATATAGTTTTTTCTAGTATCGTAGCACTCAAGACCAGCCTCGAGACCATTTTTTTGTGGGGTTTGGACTCGGTCTTGTCTCAGTATTAAAGACGCTTGGACTCAGTCTCGTTTCAGTTTTAAAGGCGCTTAGATTCAGTCTTTGTCTCGGTCTCGAAGGTGCTTGGACTTGGTCTTTTCTTGGTCTTGAAGGCACTTGGACTCAGTCTTGTCTCGGTCTTGAAGGTGCTTGGGCTCAGTCTTGTCTCGGTCTTGAAGGTGCTTGGACTCGGTCTTGTCTCAGTCTTGAAGGCGCTTGGACTCGGTCGGTCTCGAGGTCTGACACTCAACGAGTGTTCAAATGGAGGTAGATTAATAAAAACACAGATATACAGTATATGTGCCAAAATAACTGTAAAATACAAATAAATGTCGAAACTGACAAAGATTGTCTTGATTTGGTCTCGATGGGCAGTGATCTCGGCCTTTAAAAGTCTCAGTCTTGTCTTGGTCTCGACCCTCAGAGATCTTGATCTTGCCCTGGTCTGGGGACCCTGTGGTCTCTGACAGGTCTTGCTCTCGATTAGTCCAGTCTTGACAACAACACAAGTTTTTATAAATAGAGTCTAGAGGGTCTAAAAATCAGGATCATAATCCCAAATACAAGAACATTTAAAGGCCCTGTATTTTGCTATAATAATAAATTCAAATGTGTGAATGAAACAAAACACAACTGCATGTATGTTTTTGATGAGGTAACAGCATTATGACATGACTAAAAGTTCATAAGAGTCAATTTTGAGTAATATAGGACCTTTAAAAATATCTGATTGTGTTTTTTCTGACCAGTATTGTCAGCATTGTTCCAAGTTCACATTTTAAACACGTTCAAAAGAACTGACCAAATTTTTAAAAAAAGAGATAGAAGAGACTGACAAAATAATACAAAAATCACATTTCAGAGCATGTTTATACAGATCTAAACTACAAATGAGCAGTTTTATGCAGAATAAGAATATTTTATTGCTTGTGGAGAAAAATAAGGTTCTTAAAATTGCAGGTTTTGCGAGTTGCTAGTTGCATCGATTTAAAATTTCAGTTTGATTTTGATTCATTTTGCAGCTTTATGTGTCATACTACGGAACATTCACGCAAAACAACTGAGTGACTTTTTGTAATACTGTTATACTTGTTAGTAGAATCCAAATAATTGAGAATCTTTTGTCAAAATGACCCCTCCGTAACAGCAGGCTCTCTGTGCACAAATTGAATTGAATGGCATTCCTCCCCAATAATTTTCCACTTTGAACACAGGCTCCTCTCTTCCTCTGCCTAAAAAGCAGCTTTTGTGATGGGAGCAGGCAGCAGACGGAGGGAGCGGCGCGCTAATGGGACCAAAACATGAAGGCTCTGTCCAATAAACACAGGACGCGAGTGTGGCCAAGGTACATTTAATTACCACAATTAGGAATGCAATTAAAGCAGCCTGCACCGGCCCTGCTCCTGGTGCGCAGCTTTCTTTTCATCTTTCATCTGAGCCCGCTCCAGACGCAGCCATTTGGTTTGATATCGCTACGTTAACTAGGACAAGATACCCTTAAAATTCCTGCTCTCATGCAAAGAGCTCTGTGAGGTAAATAATGGCTTTCTAATTAGAACACCACAAATGAAAATATATGTACACATGTAACACATAAACTGTTTACCATGTACTGCGTTGTTTCCCAAAGACTGAGTCGTGACCCTCAGGAGGCCCGCAAGAGATTTTTTTTTTTGGATCGCCTTGTCAAGATTTGCATGTCGGTCTGCAATATACAGTTCTGACACTTGAGAGAGCGAGTGAATATCTTGTCCTCAGTAGGGCCGGTGTTTCTATGCTTATTCCTTTCTCTACCACTTATATGTGTGAACTGGGATTTTCTGTGCTCACAAAAATGAAAACATAGCACAGACTGAGTGCTGCGTCTGATCTGCGCGTTGCTTTCTCTTGCATCCCAGACTTGAAAAACGCCAACAGGTCCACCTCTCTCAGTAGAAATGTTGAAAAGTTAAGACACGTTTTGTATAAGTTCTAATCTTTTGACTATTTTGTTCCAATATTGCTGGTTCAAAATGGTCCAAATAAGCGACTTATGGATCCTTTTATTCCTGGTTCAATGACTGTTTAAAACTTGAGTAATACTAATTGTTCAGAGAGACACGATCATTCAGTTAACAATAATCAACAATTAATCCTCATTAATGTTCAATAATGGTCAAATCCACCTTTATTTTGTGATTTACGAATAATGTCTATTGACTTGGGTCCCCAGAAAAAGTTTGGGAAACACTGATGTACTGGATTCTATTACGCAAATACTACACAGAACGGTGGTACTGTACTTATTGTGTATTTTGGGATTATATTATAGACTGTATATAAATGGACATAGCTAACCTGCTAGTTCCAAATAGGAAGTGAGCATGGGGGTGCTTCAGGCTCCATCGGCTCTGGCTCCAACTGACTTGGCATTGAATAAATTGTCACCCCTCTCTCTGTACCTATTCATTTTCTTCATTTTGATCTTAAAATGTGCGTATTAACCCGCTTTACATGATCCTGGTGTTTTTATTTCCCTATTTCGTTCCGTAAAATAAATTCCTAATAAAGGACTTGGCTTCAAATCAGCTCCTATAACTGCTAGACTTGTGACGTCACACTCCCTTAGTCCATTTCTTTATACCGCCTATGGATTATATGTAACGGTGACTCAGTGATTGAGTATTTACCCACCATGCCGAAGGTCAGGTGTTCCAATCTCTGCGCAGTGCATAAAGACACACACCTCGTCTATATGTCTGAGTGTGTGTGTGAGATTTATGGCGGTCAGAGGGGCTAATGCTTGTACAAGACTCTTCTTAGAAAACAAAATATATACACAGTGTATGTTTGAGGTGTGCTAAAATATTGAAATATCCATATATCTTGATACTAAATTTGGTGACACAGAGTCGTTATCGTGGGCTGCTGTATCGATATATCGCTGTGTGTTTTTTTGGGGTATATTTTACTACATTATTTTGAGACAGATCTACAATTTTGATACTTGTTCATGCAATACATTTGACATATTCATAGATTTAAGGGTTATAACTGGTTTATCCCATATTGACTTTGTGCAGGTAGTGGTTTAATAAATGAGTACTTGATGTGATGCAACATTTCGGCGTAATCACTTTAAATGACTTTCTAAACAATATTTCTTCCTCCAAAATTCAACTCAACTGTGCACAAATATGTATTCCTTTAAATGACATCGTTTTAGAATGAAGTTGTGTTTAAGTTTCTTTGTATTTTAACACTAAACATTCAAGTGTCCTGCGGTTTGGCTGTAACGTGTATGACGTGATCGCTTTGACCAATCAGAGCGAGAGGAGCTAGAATGGAGCAGAGCGGAGCCGGAGCTAACGAGTAAAAAAGTGTTTTTTTAAGACAACTGAAGGATTTTGAGCTGAGAAAAAGTTTACGATCTAAAAATAGGTAAAAATTGTCACAAAATCCAACATTTGAAAGATGTAGGTGCCCTGTCAGCTGAATACGAGCAGTTTGTGATTATATTGTGCTCTATGAGAAAAATCCTTTCTCAGCCCATGGGATTTTTTCCGCTGAAGTTCCAGTGAGTGACCACTATGCCAACTGGAGGCAACTACAAGCAGCAACACCCTATCCACTTATTTTAATAGATCCATGGTCCTGCGATGTGACATGAAAATCACACATTTAAAAAGTTACACCAAAACCAGAAGCTCATCTATCATGTAAGCTCCAGAAAAACATCTGGGGTTCAGAGTTTGAGATACAAAACAAATTTAATAATCATCATTTTCTTATTTTTGTAAAATCCAACTTTTCTGAAAATATGTGAACATGCGTCAGTGTGCTGTCCTGCGATGTGACAGCTGGATTTCCTCAGAAAAATACAATTCTAATAGCTAAAAATACATTCTTTAATATGTGTTACATAATTATTAAACCAACAATATAGATATGTTAAATAGAGATGTAACAATAACCGAAATATCGTGATATCATATCATCATAAGTCTCACAATAATATCATGGGGCGTTGCAATATATCCAATTACAAGTTCCTTAAATGCATGTTTTAAAGTAGCACTAGCTAATAATCATCTGAAACTACATATCCCATGATTCATTTCAAAACAGACAACATGAAGAAATATGTATTTTACTTGAATTCAGACAGAAATAATTCACACCAGAATCTTGTTAGGATATTTTAAAAGCAAAAAGGCATCTTATCTACAATTATATCAGCCTCTCCAAAATATGGCAATAAATATCGTACCGTGAGATGCATATCCTGATAATATCATACCGAGAGATTTGGATATCGTTACATCCTTAATGTTAAGTATTAATTTGAATTTTGAACATGGCAAATTTATAGTATATGTCCAGCTGGGTGACGGAGAGGCCACACCACAGGGTACGTTAAAATGTCTAAAATTAAAAGAGCAAAAAGTGTCAAAAAACTCACCATTGTCCGAGGCCATGAAAGTGACATTGTAGAGACTGTTCTTGACGTAGTGCGACTCCCGGTCCAGCACGGCGATGGTGGAGATCCGCCCATTCACCGGGTCTATCTCCAGCCATCCAGCCGGGTCGAACAGCTTTGAGTACCTGCGTTTACAGAAGAGAGATGAAAGAGGGAGAGATGGAGGAGCGATAGGGAGAAAAAGAGGAAGAGACGCCATTAGAACACAGCGCATAAAGCCCTCTCTATCAGACTCTGGCGACGGACCAAACGCTCGCTCGCATTCACCCCGACTGAAAACATCCCAAATGAGCTCCAGTCTACATCTGCGACTGGAGTACGGTATGGATTCATTTCTACGACTTGGAAATGAGCCACGGATTGGGGGAAAGACTACGCGGGCCTATCGAGAGCATTCATTTGGTGGAAACATCTGCTCTTTTGTCGCGGTTTACTTTGATGCATCTGAAGAGGTTTTGAAGGGATTATTCTACGTGACCCTTGACTCTTGAACACATGCAAAGAGTGGGACTGGTGACTCGAAACAATGCGAGTAGAATTGTCAACACTGGGACTAGGGATGCACCAAACCAGCTCTTTCGATGTTGATATTTCCTTTACCCGACCAGTGTAGGGACTGAAAAAAGGCTTTATTTAGTTCAAACACAAACAGCATAAGGTAAAAAATGATCCAAATGTGTTATATAACTACAAAACAGATGTTATGAGATGTTTTGAATCAACACTTGCCAGTAAATTGTCTTATTACCCCAATTTATAGACCCAAATTGATTGGTGTAGGCTTAATCTTGAGCTTATTATGCTTTTCTTTATCCTTTATTTCTTTGTCAGAGCATCAACTTGAAACCAGTTCATCTTCATAAATACAGCAAGAGGAAACAAACAAATCAGTAACAGTACAACAGAGAACATGTATCTGCCCAGAGTTAAACATTTAAACTTCTTTATAAAATGGAAGAGAGTGATGCACAATTTCAAGTCTTCTGTATAACTGTTCCAGAGGTCCACCACTTTAACAGATTTACAAAATTTAATGTTTGTTCTGATTTTCTTTTTGATAAACATGGCCGTAACTCTGTAGATTGATTCATCAGCCGGTTTCACTTCGTGGAAACTGTCTGACCTCGCAGCATTAGGATTCATTCGCTCAACGGTAGGCGGGTACTTTTTATAACTTAACCAATCACTGCTATTTGGTCGTGACGTATGTAACATGCAGCTAACGGGGCTAACTGGTATATTAAGCTTTTCCCAAATCCCGTAGGAAGAAGGGCAATAACGTCTTTCCCCTTGATAAAATTCACCAAACATTCTCTTTGTTCTGGCTTTAAATCCTTGATCTCAGGAATCGTTGCCAACACAGAATGTATGGCTTCGTCAACATCCATCTCGAGCCCTTTGTTTACTGTTGTGTTGTACCACTAAAGGGACCCAGACATGGCTTAACATTGGCCGGTGCGCGGTCTACAACTTCCAGGATTCTTGCAAACCGTCTAGTGTATTCTGATTCCTGACCTAGTCACTGGAGAGAAATGAAATTGAGCGAAGACACTAGGTGGTGCCAGCCTGACTAGTACCTCTGAGCTCATATTGGCTATTTCAGATTTTGATCATATTCAGTAATGATTTTAACAAGATTGTTGCTTACTCTGAACATGATTTTCAAAGTGTAAAGTTCAACAAAATCGTAAAAGCCAAATAAATTGTAAAAGTCGTAAAAGACTAAATCGTAAAAGACTAAACAGAGTAGAGTTTAAAGGTTTATAAATAATGCATAAGTTGGTTCATTATAAGTTAATAATGTGATTGCTCTTATTGCCTTTTTTGCAAGATAAAGATTGGATTTGTATTACTCTTATATGTACTGCCCCAAATCTCAATACAGTTGTTATGTAGGGCATTACCAGTGAGTTGTATATAATAAAAAGATATATCTATATTTATATTTAATTGTGATTACTTTGGATAATTTACTTTTTCTTTTTACTGTGAAAATAGGATATCGCGGCAGCTGATACCTGATCCACCAACATTTTCAATATTGGCACTGATATCCAACACCAGCATCCCTAACTCTGGCTATGTTTACATGTTTACTTGCGCACTCAAATAAAGCTTTTACTGGTAACAAATGCAACGCTGATTTATTCTTAATTACAAAACCAATGGACCTGATGGCCATGTTGATTTAGTTATAATTTGGTGTTTTCATTCTCAAGATCATTATCCAATTAGAAAGCAGAATGAGACTCTCCTTTGGGTTGCCAGTTTCAATGCTGAAATCCACTTGGTTTAAATCAGGGGTTGGCAACCCGCTGCTCCGGAGCCACATGCGGCTCTTTTATCCTTCTTTTGTGGCTCCCTATGAAATAAATAATGAGTATTTAACTACAATGTATTTTTATTGTGCATTTTTTATGTAATTCTAAATTTGTAGATAGTGGTAATCTTGTAACATTCAAATAAAATGTTTTTAATATTTTTGTCGCTCAAAATATGCGTCAAAGCTGCTGATGTGCGACACCCGGCACAGATCTAACAGCCCGGATTTACCAGGTACTACACGAGCAGCTTGATTTATTGAGCTTTTTGACCCATGGTAGGTAAATGATGGATAAATCCAAGAAAATTAAAGTTTCTGAAAAAAAAAAAAAAAAGTTTAATTCCACATGGGCAGATTCATTCACTTTCTCCGCTGATGAGACTGATACACATGGAACAACACGCGATAAAATGATGACGGAACACAAGCAGACGGCAGTTTTGGTTGGCCTCAGGTGGATAATTTAAGTTTGGATTTTTCAAATATCCATTGAGTAATAATGTGTTTAAAGCAGCTTTGCGCACATTTGCTTACATTTTACAGAAACAAAATTTAAAACCACATGGCTAATTTGTATAAACTATAAGCGCTCTTTGTCACAGCTTCTGTCGGACAAAAGGACACAACTCAGTAAAATATGTGTATTCTTTCTGTAACAGAGGATGTTCTGCTGATGGTGAGTCTGTTCTGTGCTTCTATCGCGTTGGAGATGGTTCATGTGAAACTTTTCAGAGATTATACGTGTGTAGATCATACCACAAACCGTATAAATGAATGGACATATATTCTCTGTAGCATTTCATTGATTTCATAAATGCAACCCACTATAGTCTTTTATACAGGTTAAAAAAACATGATATGCAATGTTATCCTCAGTTTAGATGTCAAAAGGGTTTTGTGGCTGACCCAAACCCCAGCACCTGCAATCACGAATCAATACTCATGAATCAGTGCTAGTGCAGCCTCTGTAGCTCAGTGAGTGATTTCTGGAGGCTCTAAGCTTTCACATGAGGCCTGACCTGTCCATACACTGAGAATGAGAAAAACTTATTGCATCTCCTCTCAGCAGGTTAAAGCACCAGCAGCCCAGGTCCAGCAGTGATTGTGATACCTTATTGTGAGAGCACAGCCTACATTCAGCTCCCTTGACCTTTAACTTTTCCTGATCACATTGTAAACATAATGTAAAAAGGCAGATTCTAAGGCGAAACCTGCGAGAGGAGGATTCAAAGACTGAGCGCGTGCAATCCACCGGCGGCTGTTGCTATGGCTACGCAGACCTCAGCTCCGCTTTTAGAAACAAATAGTGGGACGTAAGGAGAAAACAGCAGGCACTAAATCCTGTTTGTGAGAGCCTGGTCCAGTTCTGAATAATAATCATCATACAGACTCTCATACAGAATGGAGATTTTGAAGCTGTACTGCAACCTGGAGCGAGACGATATATGGATAGATGATACTGAAAAAGTTATGAAAAATTTAAATATTAAGTATATCTTGAATTATAAAACATAACTTGCGTGCACTCTACCTTACGCTGGCGGTGGACCTGCAGACGTGTACACTGGAATCACGGTTTGCCAGTTTATTACTTAAAGCGGCACTATGTAACTTTCGTGGTGTAGGGACCGCCACTGGCTTATCACCATGGAGATGTTTTTGCTTTATCCGAAATGTTCCAAAGTACATATCTGCATAAAGACAGGCAGGTAACGCAACCAGGCCTAGAAACAAACAGATCCAAGGAGAGAATATATTTTCTTAGCAATTAAAACACCAAAATAAATGCCATATCTTTAATGCCGTACTGTGGAACCAGTCAGTGGAAGACCCTCCATTAGAAAAGTTACATAGTGCAGCTTTAAGTTCTGTTAAATCAGGGGTGTCAAACGAAAATTCACAGAGGGCCAACATTAAAAACTGGGACTAAGTCGTGGGCCAAACTAAATATTTATTGAATAATTTCAGCAACATCTGCATGTTTTCTCTTCTTTCAAGATATGTAATGTTAAACCTTTTCTTATTAAAATAAATATTTAATAATAGTTTTGTTTAAACATTGAATCTAGAACAAGCAGAATATAAAATAATAACAAAATTTAAATAAATAATGTCTCTATAGCCTATCTGTAGCTGGCGGGCCAACTTTAATACATATTTGACATGATCTCGCGGGCCAAATATAATCATATCACATGCCAAATGTGGCCCCCGGGCCTGAGTTTGACATGTCTGTGTTAGATCCTGCTATATTCCTGGTTGGATTCCAAATTAGTCCTAAAGATAGAGCTCAGGACTGTGACGTCTTACATCATAGAATTTTCAGTGAGCCTAATGTTAAACCACTGGAGATTTTAAGAGATTTTTTCTGACATTATAGAGTGATAGATGTATTTACTAGAAATGATCGCTGTGAGTTCTGCACGAGGGACTCCTTAAATTCTCTGCATTTCAACATGTCAGTCAAAGATAACTAACTGCTTCATGCTGTATTTTCCCTGGAGAATGAGTTCATTTCATAATCAGCAAATATGTTTCAAAACCTAAGCCTGAACCCAAGCCCAACCTTCATCTGATGTGAAAAAATATACTGACAGAAATCTACATTTGGGCGTCAGTAGCTCAGTTGGTAAGAGTATCTGTACACTGATCCGAAGGTTAGAGGTTTGAATCCTGCTCTCAACATAAAAAACATCATTGGTGATCAGATTCACTGGCCCACAGATTGATGGTGCTATTCCAGCTCCCACAGATAAATGCTGTTGTTGGGTCCTTGGGCAAGACATTTAACCCACCTTGCCC